CTCCCTCCCTCCCTCCCTCCCTCCCTCAAAAACTCTACCTTTTATTCGTTCCTACCCCCCGCCTTTCTCCTTCACAATACTCTCTTTCTAAACATTTCACTCTTATTTTTTTGTCTTCCTTTTTCTGCTCCTCCTTCACCCCTCTCCTCTTCCCCTGTGAGATGAAAAATCCACCCTCCCCCTTCCAACAGAGGGGCATTTACTGTAAATACAGATTTTTTCATTGTGGGTACTGGTGGTGCTGTAGAGGCTGTCTGGTCAAAAAAACTAGCAAGACTTCACTTTGTCAGATCTAGAAGTGACAACCAAAAACGAAATTGGTTGAAACTAAGACAGACACCTATTGTCGAGAGGAAAAGTGGCCATCTAAGACACACGAACATCTCACAGTTTCCTCATGATGTAAAAAATATGCACGGACAGAAATTGGAAGCGATTGTAGAAAATAGTAATAGTATCGGTATGTAATTGTTTTTTAGTTGCTGTTACAGCAGGTTAGGTTAAAGTTAAAGATTCGTAATAAAGCCATGAAGTCAATGTTTAAAATTGGTTCTGAACTCTCTGTGATACTCTGTGCCCACATTTGTTACTCAATAACAGATTGGCTTTGTTGGTTCTGCTATCACTGACATGATGCGAGCTGTGATATAATCTGGATTATTGAGACGTAGTGTAGATAGTATAACCTAGTTTGTGAAAAAGCTCTCTTCAGCTTATCTTCAGAGCTTGTTTATCTAATAGTTATTCAGTTTGTCTCTGAGATGGTTTATCAAACAGCTATTCGCTGTTAATCTCGAAGTTTGTTTATCTATAATAGTTATTCGCTGTTTGACTCCGGAATCATGAGTGACTGCTCTGAGGTCCTTTGAGTGTTGGTGGTGGCTGTGCTTTGAGGACATCTTGTGTGACCTTGTGTCCATTACTGGTTCAGACTGTTGAGATAGTGCGGAGCGTGTACTCAAACACTGCTGGTCTCTGTTTTTATTAATTGTAAGCATTTATTTGAAATTGTAAATTATGCTTGAGAATTGGATTAAAAGAGTTGTAGACTTCTGTATCACAACTTACGTAGGCCGAGTTAGTTACACAGCAAATCCTTAAAAAAAAAAAGTCATCGACTGAAGGTCAGTGTTGAGAAGCACTGCTTTTTAAAAAATAATTTCCAGGGGAGATGGTGTTTAACCTTTGAGGTAAAGGCAACTTGCAATACCCGTCTTCGTTTAGCTTAAAAAAAGAAGTGTCCTTGGTTTGATTTGTCTTTAAAAAAGTCAGACATCGCAGACTTGTTACATATTTTATATTTTACAAATAATTTTTAGTACTTAATAAAACGACCCTTGGGCCCTCTAGTGAGTTTGACACTAAGCTTGTTATAGAAGAAAAAGTAAAGCTTGGTAGAAGAGAATTGTTGACAGTTTCTGGTGATTCCTCCTTTTACATGGTGGGCATAGAGGGCTATACTGTGGTGTGGCTTAGTTCTATTTCTTTTCAGTGTAGATCCTTATCTGATCATGGTAAACTGTATCCTCTAGGGAGCTGACTCCACATAAACTCCTGACTGGGCCATGTTACCTTTCTTTGCTTGGTGCTATAATACCTCTTTCTTTGAGGTTGGGCTGATCTTTAATCTGACATTAGGTCATTCATAGCTAGCTGGGATTTCAGAGTTGAGTCATGGTTCAATGCACAGCGTGTCCTCAGGTGCCTAGGAAATTTCCACCTGTCTAAATGGAAATAGGTCAAGACGCTTGTAATGTGTGGAACAGGTTTTAGGTCTTCAGGGCCATCATGTGTGTTGTAAGGGGAGTAGGTCTCTGGTGTGAGGTTTTCTTTGTTGGTGTGTCAGGCATGCCAGTGTTTATCTCAAGTTAAAATAAAGAGTACTGTCAGGATGGAAGAGAAGATATTATAATAAGTCTCAAGGTGTAACAAAAGAAAATGTAGGTAGTCTAGAGTGAGAAAAGAATGTGGGTCATTGGAGGGGTGCTCCTGTTGCAATTGTCATTTAATACTCTTGACTAAAACCATTCAAAGTAAAGAAAAAAAATATCAAAAGGTGACCTTTTTTTCTGTGCCTTAATAAATATTAAATTTGTCATTTTTCTAGGCTGGAATCATTAAAGAATAAATTAAGAATGTAGTCTGACACAGGAAGGAACTGATTATAGTCTGAAGTATTGGTGTGGGATGTTATTTAAAGAACAGCAACTATTTCTGATTTTCAACTGATTATTTTATTTGTATTCACCCTGAGGGTGGATGCAAGCCGTTGTATCTGAGGAAGAAAATATTTCAAGAAAGTGAAGCCATTTAATTTTAGTTTTAGTGGTAGGGTTCACTGCTGGGATTTGTTAGCTCAAAAATTCCCTTAAAAGAGTTCTATGACAGGTTAGAAGCTCAATCAGTTTTCTCATTTAAGCTTTGTAAATGTTTTTAAAATGTTACGTTCATAATAATAGAGCTGAAGCACAAATTACTTTTGATCCTGAAGATAAAGTACTTGCTTCTTCTAGAATGACTGGAACAGCTGTTCACAAGGAGTCTGAAAGTCTAGTTGTAAAGCATGTGAGCAATTGCCGTAATTATATCAGTTTCACTGTTTTGAAACACAGTGTGCAACTGAAACTGCAAATGTGCCTGGGAGTAATGGTGAAGATTTGTAACATGAATAGAGTGTCTGAGTTAGTTGCAAGATTTATGTTTTTGTTGGAATGTACTCTGGGCATAGAGATTCATAGTTGTACATTCCTTAAGACAGTCGTAAGTGATGATTTTTATCAGAGATAAAGAACAAATATTTTGGGTTTGAATAAGTTTACTGATAGCGCTATGGTCTTTCTTATGTACAGCTATTGATAAGGTTATGACGTATGTAGGTCACAGATGTCAAAGTCGAGGCATGCTGGCCTCATTCTGCCTGGTGAATAAATGTGTTTATCCAGTTCACAAGAGAGTCTAAGGCTGCTCACCCTGAGAATCTTCATAATACGGAGCATTACAGCAAACATGATATATGCAAACTTGCTGTTAAAAAAGATGCTGAACATTCGTCTCTGAATTTGAGAGTTTAGTTTCACATTGCTAAAGGAGTCTTGAGTGTTTGTCTTGTCCAGTTCGGCCCACAACCTTAAAGGTAATTTCAGTTCGGCTCAGTGTGTGGTGTAGAGTTTGATACTGCTGATGTAGGTCATTCAGAAAAGAAGTTTAGCCAGAAAAATATTACATAGTGTGATTGTTGACGAGATTTTTAATTTAGAAAAAAAACTAACAGCAAAGGTATTACTATTATTTTAGTTATTGGTTTTCTCTCTTGTGCAGGTAACAGTGGTTTTTTTATTCTCTCTACAAGACTTACATGAAGCTGCATCATTCTGACTTTCTTTATGTTATTGTACAAAGTTTTTGTTAATTATCATTAGTAGTTTTGTCAAAAGTTTGGTTTTGAACATGCATGACTGGCAGAAAGCAGTCGTCAATAGTTCTAAATTTTCTTTCGCTGTGGGTATTTTAGTCGATACAGTGGCCAGCGTTGTTGTAGTTTAAATATTGTTTGGGGGCCCCCAGTTCACAGAACCTTGAGGAGTGTGTAGTGTGGGTTTTTCTTTCCACTGAATGTGTAGAGTTTGATGCCGTTGCCAGTAAGAGATATTTTATTTGAATAGAATGTCCTTTGGTAGTTTTGTACCTCTGGTATTTAGCTTTGTTGTACACATTTGGGAAGAGCAAGAAAATCTGACTCCTGTAGAAGAACCCCCCCCCCCCCCCCGGGGGCCTCAGGAAAAAGCTATGCTCTACATTTTTTCAACCCTTTTTGAAATGACAGCAATACCAAAAATATAAAATCAAGCCAAACACCCCCCCCCCCCCAAATCAACAGGCCAAAAATGCAGAGCGAAACAAAAATGATAAAACCAATGCAAAATCAATGTTTAAAAAAAAAACGGTCAGAAAAGAGACACTAAAAAAACAAAATCCAATGAAAATGTTAAAGAAATAGCACTGTTTTATTCTTGTAAGCGAAAGAGATTATGTTTAATATCATACCGACTACTTTATGAGAGTGTAAGGGTAGACCCGCACCGGCGTCAGGCCCAGAGGGTCAGAACAGAACGTTTTGCGATGCAAAAGATTGAGCGCCGGCAGAACAGTAGCGACAGGTAATAAAAAACGGCAACTCGCCAACACCAAAACCCGACGCACCGGCCCAGACCGTTTAGGAATGAACATGTCCATTCCACGTCTCTCAGGCGAATGGGGGGTAATTTTCGTAGACCTTGCCTCTATAAATTCTTTCCCTTTTCCCGCCACGGTCTGTTGGTTTTTGTTTTGAGAGTGTCTGACCATCGGCCCCGACGCCGGTGTGGATCTAGCTTAAGACTCGGCATATATGCCAGTTTAAAGTGAAGTATGACGGAGTTTGTCTGTTCTATGCTGTATCATCTCAATGTCAGATGAACCAATGTGTGTTTTGACAATGAAAATGTTCGTTTGTCTTCTTTGTGTCCCCCCACCGCTAGCTCTCAGAAAAAGGAAGTTGTGACAATGGAAATGATTCTTTTTTTTTCCTTGTCTCAGGGCCCACGGGCGGACAGCTACAGATATGCTGTCACACCATCAGGGGAGGAGAAGAAGAAGAAGAAGAAGAAGAAGGGAGATGATGACTTGGACGCTCTCAAACAGGAGCTGGAGATGGACGAGCACAAAGTTCCCATCGAAGAGCTCTATGACAGATTGGAAGCAGATCCCACGAATGTGAGTACAGAACAGATGGCTTGTAGATATCCCAATCCAAAAATAAGACAAAATGAACAGAACTGTTTTTGTAAATGGAAGGTTTCTTTAATTTAGAATTTTATGGGTGAAAGTAACACAAACAGATGGGTCTCATACTTGACTTTGATTTCCCCTTGATTGAGCCTTTAAAAAAAAAAAAACCCATCTCTTAACCTTAAGGGTAGCAACAGTAGCACACTCGTTTTGTTAAAGAGAAAACTAAATAGTTTTTTTGTTTGTTTGTTTAGTCTACATTAAAAAGTAATTTAGAAAGGCAAACTGAGAATTGTATAAAAAAATAAATTGTTTAGATTTAAGACCCCTTGCAACACTGTAAGGCATAGGAGTAAAGTCATTTAAGAAGCAAGACTTCTGAATTAAATATCTATCTCTGAGAGGACAGAGCCAAATTGGAACATTTGTGAAAGGTTCATTTCCTAGGACACAATTAGGGAACATTCTCATCAGTCTGAGCCTCGAATCACTAAAACTGCAGTCTCTCAATTACGAGTCTGATAATGTAACCACTGGACAACCAATGCCCCATTGTCATAATATGTCCTGAATATGCAGTAATATGCAGGGATATATATCATTGTTGTGATTTGGATGAACAGATTGATTAGTTATTGGTGCTCTGGTGTTGTTAGCTTCTTCTTTTCTTTGTTACTATTTTCATAAACTGCTACCAACTGATGCAGGTGGTTGGAGGGCTCAACTGGTCGGTCCTATATCTTTACTTTCCCTGTAATTTCTGTCTGCCCGTCTTACTCTTTCCTTGTACAATATTACTATAATTGATTGGTCATTATTACTCTACAGCTCTCAAATAGTTTCTAGCATTGTCTTCTTGCCTGCCACTTACTTTGGTGCCTCAGTCTATCTTTTTCCCTCAAAAGGACTTTCTCGTTTTTCCTTAGTTATTAACTTATTATTGGTTTAATTTTTTACTTCTTGTGACAAAAAAGATATAAACTACCAAAGCAGACTTGCAATGCGGTTTAGACTTTCAGGATCTGTTCTATATATTTCTTTTTAGTGTAAGGTGTGTGCTCTTTTGTGGTTTGCCCTTTCTTTCCTTTCAAACATTTATCGTCCTTATCTTTCCTCCGTTTCTGCCTATGTTACTCTCTTGTAACACATCTGTTCTTCGGCACTTGTATGACCTTGTGTTGCAAGTGCCTTAAAACTCTTCCTGAAACTAACACTTAAAATTAACACCACTTCCTCCTCCTCCCCCTCCCCCAAAATTAAATTTCCTCAAGGCAAAAAGAATTGTGAATATATGTTCTGATAGTTAATAGTCATAGTAAGATTTGGAGGAGTGGCTTGGCCAGTTGAAAGTAAACAATGTTTCTATTATTTGTGGCTGGTTTGGTTATTAGTTTGAGTAAAGAGTTCACATCTTATCATCTACACAACTGCCATAAATTCATGCTTGGAAAAAGCAGGACCAGTAGACTGCAACAGCAAGAGAAGGCTTGCAAATTATGACTGAGCAGCACCCCTCCCCACCCCTCCTCCAAACTGCCTGCCTTTGTTTCAAGATTATCAAACACATCCACTTGGGGGTGGCAGTTGAACTCAATCAGCAAAACTTACACCTTTCAACCAGTCTGAATGAATGACTGTCTCTCAGGGAAAACAATCGCCTCTGTATTGGGAATATTAGTCTCCAGTCTGCCTCTCTCTCACTCTCTTACTCTCACTCTCACTGATGGTTATTGAATTTGCTCATGACATTTCAGAGAAACCTGGCTTGGAACTTGCCAGGATGGAGGTGACCTCCTAGTCACCTTCAAAGATTCCTCTCCCCCCCCCCCTCTCTCTCCCCCCCTCTCTTTCCATCACATCCCTCCCCACCACCACCTCCTCCCTCCTCCACACCTCTTCTCTCTTCCTTCTCCTCACCACCTCCCTTCCCCCTTGTTTAGCACCACTCCGCCAACGCCACCACCACCGCACACCTCCTGATTTTGGTAGTGTCAACTGGCACACACACGCGCACACACACACACTCACACACACGTTCACAGTGGATTGGGAGGGGTGAGT